GGTCTCCTGTCCTGCAGGGTTCAAGGGCCCTGGGAGAACCTCCCAAGCCTGAGACAGGCCAACATCATCAGAACTGTGGGATCCAACTCAGGCTGAAGATGGTCCTTTTTAGTTTTCTGATAGAGATGGGGTCCTGTTATGTGACCCAGGCTGGTCTTGAACTCCTGGTCTCAAGTGAACCTCCCACCTTGGCCTCCCAAAGTGTTGGGACTACAGGCGTGAGTCACGTCCCCAGCTGGTTTTCCCCTTTAAAGGGCCCCTCTGCCACATTTGAGAAACACTGAATGGCTGTCTGTGAAGTGATTTTTAGGGTACTCCCCCACCTCCGCCCACCCAGCAGGAAGGTTTCCCACCCTTGCTGAGCCCCGGAGTTCCTGTTTTATCTCATTCCTGGCTGAATAACAGCTTTCAGCCCGGGGATGGGCGGGGTGGGGAGTAGTATCAACCTTGCTGATATGACTTTTTTTTCTTCCTAGAAAAGTCTGGGCACGCCACTTCCTGGCAATGCACACCAGGTTGGGCGCTCTCTGGTGGCCACCAGAATGAACTCCTGACAGACTCAGCACTTGCAGGCACAGTGAGAACCAGGCACACACCTCAGCTCCCAGAGCAGAAGCAGGCACCGCAAAACCCAGGAATCCAGTAATCAATGTGTTATTTTTTTTTCTTTTGGAGTCAGGGTCTTGCTCTGTCACCCAGGCTGGAGTGCACTGGGGCCATCATAGCTCACTGTAGTCTCAATCTCCTGGACTCAAGGGATCCTCCCACCTCAGTCTCCTGAGTACCTGGGACCACAGGCGCCACCACATCCACCTAATTTATTTCACTTTATTTTATTTCTGCAGAGATGAGGTCTTGCTATGTTGCCCAGGCTTGACTTGACCTCTTAGGCTCAAGCAATCCTCCCACCTCAGCCTCCTACAGTGCTGGGATTATAGGCATGAGCCACCAACCAGGCAAGCATTGTTATTAGGCCTGTGTACAAGAAGGGAGATAGGCTTCAGAGACACACAACGCAGCTCTGAGAGTCCAAAGGGAGCCCAGACTCCGAGTGGACTCATCTCTTCACCAAAATGCTTGTGGCCTCTGAAGGGGCCCATCTAGATGCTTGTTTCAATGAACAGGGGGCCAGGAAGGGCCCAGGTTTTACCTTGGTGGGACATCGTCACTGTCTCCACTGTGGTGAGCCCAGGGACAGACACAAGCGGCCGGGAGGTGCCAGGAGCGGGCTGGGCAGTCGTGTGATTGGTAAAGTTGGCCATCAGCTGGACTGTGGAGGACCCCTGGGTGGTCGCAATGGGCTCAGCCTCTGAAAGAATGCACAAATGTCTTCAGATGCCCTGGAGAGGACTCACAACTCAAGTCCTAACACCAAGCTGGTGGAAGCAGGGCTGTCTACTACCAGGAACCAACTAAAACCAGATCCACTGGAAATAAGACATCACAGACATCTACACTGTGTCATGTTATTGGGGTTTGTTTTTTTGTTTCTGTTCTGGGTCAGGATCTTACTCCGTCACCCAGGCTGGAGCGTGGTAACATGCTCTCAGTTCACCACATCCTCAACCTCCTGCGCTCAGGTGATCCTCCAGCCTCAGCCCCTGGAGTAGCTGGGACTACAGGCATGTGCTACCACACCTGGCAAATTTTTTTTTAATTTTTTGCAAAGACGAGGTCTCACCATGTTCCCAGGCTGAATTGCAGTGGCACATTCATCTCTCACTGCAGCCTTGACTTCTTGGGCTCAGGAGATCCTCCCGCCTCAGCCTTCCGAGGAACGGGGACTACAGGTCTGCTACATAACACCCACCCATCCTAGACTATTAGTTGCTGCATTGGTCCCCAGTCGAGACTTTATCGGAGGATGAGAAGAATTGACAAATGAACCCCTTCCTCCCTAGACTCCCATGTCAGAAGTCAGCCCCCTCTCCAGGAAACCAGGAACGAGGGACCCAGATGTCACAGGGGAACTCATCTAAACATGTAGCAGGATGCTGGTGTGCCCCACATTTGAGAAAGGTAAGGTGGCATTACCGCAACTCGTGAGTCTTGCAGGGACCTCAGGGAACCCATTTGACAGATGGGAAAAGAGAGGCTCAGAGGGGGCAGGCGCTCAGCTGCACTGCACGGGAGGCAGAAGCGAGGTTGAGCCCTTACCTGTGAGGCAGCTCCTCATGTCCCTGGCCAGCAGGAGGCCGTCGGGGCAGGCACAGGTGAACTTGGGCGAGCGCAGGTTGACCTGCGGGGCTGGGAGACACAGGTACTGGCAGCCACCGTTGCGGAGAGCGGTCCTCTCACACCAATTCACCCCTGGGCGGAACAGGGTGGAAATGAGATAGTCAGACAGACCGGAACATTCTGGAACATTCTAGCACACCCACAAAAAAAATTCCAGAACATTCCAGTGCACACACAAGAAATGTAGGGAGGGGGGAACCAGCGGGGGCTTGCTGCCGGCCCAGCCTTACCTCTTGGCTGCGTGAGGTTGTGGAAGAGGACAATGTCCTCTGGGGACAGCAGGTTTTCGGCTACCAGATTAACGTCCAAACCCGTGAGGCGATTGGCACTGAAAATGGCTTCATTGATGACATCCGTCCAAAATACTTTGTCCTGCCCGGCAGGGAGAGAGGTGACAAACCCATCAACTCGTGGGATGGGACACAGACCACAGGTGGCCTGCGGACAAGCAGCACTCACTAGGTGGCAGCGTCAACCCTTTGATCTTGTTATTTTGTTTTACTTATTTCGTTAGTTTGGTTTGGGGGTTAGAGTCTCACTCTGTCAACCAGCTGGAGTGCAGTGGCACATTCATGGCTACCGCAGCCTCGACCTGCTGGGCTCAGGTGATCCTTCTGCCTCAGTCTTCCAAGTAGCCAGAACTACAGGCACTTGCTACCATGCCCAGCTAATTTTCTAT